TCAAACAGAACCCTTTTATATTAAAAGAAAGCTAAATGAGGCGGGAGATAAATATTAGTACATCTCAGACGTGTAAGTATATCTTCATATTAATGTAACTTTGTTAATGTAAGCAGATAAAATAGTTTAACTTTAAAACGGGTGACTTGAGCCCCTTGTGGCTGAGATGAGTATTACATCAACACTGCTGCAATGTTCCGCCACCCTATTGGTTTGAATAAAGTTTAAGGATGCAAAATACATTAAAGTAACTAATAAAATCACATAAGGGGGGGGGGCAACTCACGGGGCCTGCGGGGCTGCTTGTTTTGTCCATCGGGACGCCCATCTCGTCCTCCTTCGCCGTCTGAGGATCGCTTCCTTCCGCGGCCTCTAAACCCCGCCCCCTGCTTCTTACTCAGGTCAAAGAAGAACTGATTGACCGGCTCCTGAACGGACAAACAGGAAGGACGATTTTCAAAATAATGGGCACCGTTGTGGTCAGAGAAGTGTTGTTGTCACGGTGACCATCAAACTCTAATCAGCTCATCTTTGAGTTCAGCTGGACTATTGCGACACGTATACAACTTATAAATGTAATACAAGAAACAATGTGGCTGACATGGAACACAGAGTCTCTCTGTACCTCCTCCTGGGTGGAGCCGAGGCTCGTCTTCAGTCGCTCCGCCCTCTCCTTGGTGGAGCGCCTGTAGGGGTTTTCTGTGACGTCCTGCGGCTGCTTCACCAGCTCTGAAGGATCCATGGTCTTCATCGGGACGATGTTGAAGGCGTACAAATACTGCAGAGAGGCGGACAGACAGACAGACAGACAGAGGGACAGACAGACGGGTCAGGATGAGGTGGTGACACACGTTGGGCGGCAGAGGTTTTTGAAGTCTGACTTAAAAACGTGGAAAGTCTCAAGCAGGTTCTGCCGTCTGTGCTTTCCAGGCAGACACACCTTCTTCTTGGCGGGGTTGTTGACGGCGGCGAGCGCGATGAAGCGGCTCACGTGTTGAGCGTTCTCCTGGAGAATCACATGATTCCTGGAAAACACCAAGAGGAACACTTATGAACGGAGGGCTATAATCAGATAATAAACGATTTATTATGAATATTACAATAATAGTTTATTTGCAGAAGAAACATTCTTTTCATCAAGATGTCCTGAAAATTACCAGATTTGCAAAAAATTAAATCCCATATTTAAATGAAATTTTCCCCTATACATTTACAGGTGAAACACTCCAGTATTTCTGGGGTAATTTACCAGAAAACCATGAACAAATAATTAAACCAAACTAAATATTTTTGTATTGTATATACAAATATATTATTATATATATATTATATTTTTATATATATATAATAATATTATATTTTTTCCTGGTAAATAAAAAAAGATATCTTGAAAATCTTGAAAAATGTGTGACAAAAATATTTAGTTTTATATATATATATAAAAAAATAAACATACATACATATACTTATACAATCACACTTTAATTTTTCTTTAAAATAATTTATAATTATAATAATTTCCCAAATTCAACAAGCACTTACTGCAAGATGTGATTTTTTAAACAATTTTTTTTAAAGAATGTATTATTACAATTAATTAAAAATGAGATCACTAATATAAATAACTTCTCACCTCACTGTCTGTTATGTCTGAGGTGAAAATCTAATCATATGCTCATTTAGCAAATAAATATAAACAGTCCAAACAAAAATATAACAACAAAATAAACATCCAGAGTTTGATGAGACATTAACCTCAAATTGCTCCTTTCAGAGGAAAACAGGGAAACCTTTTATTCTTGTAGATTTATCTCTTTACTCGGAATCGGATCTCTGCGGTTTGACTCTCACGTTTCATGAGATGTTAAAAATGTTACTCATATTATTGGACATTTGAACCTGCTGATCCACCTCCAGGTGAGTGGCCCTACCTGTAGGGGAGTCTCTCGTAGTGAGCGCCCTCTAGTGCGGCAAAGTGGTATCGCGGCTTCAGGTGGTCGGCGAGCTCGGCGACGGCGCCGCTGCCGCAGGCCTTCGTGTTCACTTCCTGCAAAACACACACACACACACTTTTAAAAAGGTATTTTAAGTGAGAATTTGACCTGTTGACACAAAACATTGAACATGTTCTTCACATTCTTCAATAAATCCATGAATATGAAATCTAATTTAGAACAATTTATTGAATTTATATTAAGATTAATTAACATGGAATTGTTTTGCAGTCCCAAAAGTAAATTTAAGAAAGATTTACCAACAATTGGACCTTCCTCATCGCCGAGGTAGAAACACTTTTGTAATGACAAAGAAAGCGAGCAACAACGGCAACGTGAGCGGAGGTTACCGGCGCGTTCCCGTACTGCCACACCCCCCGGGGCCACTGGCACGTCAGCAGCACGTCCACCCCTCTGAACTTGGAGCCGCTGGTCAGCGGGGCCACGAGCGCCGACAGGTCTTTGGAGGTGAAGCAGTGGGCGGGGGCCGGCTCCTGCAGGGCCTCGCGCCCACTGACGTAGGCGATCTGTAACCCCGACACGCCCGTGAACACGCCGCGCCGCCCTGCAGACGCACAGATGTTTGATGGGGGGGGGGGGGGCAATGGATGGACGCGGAGCCCCCCCGCTGTGTTCCTGAGGCTTACCCAGGTACGTGATGTTTTCGGCCAGCTCGCAGCCTTCGGCGCCGGGGAAGCTGCGCACCGTCTCCTGGCTCGCCGCCCCCAGGACGTAGGTGTGGACGGGAGCTGAAGAGGCCAGAGGAGGGGAAGACGGATTCCCTCATCAGCCAATCAGAGGGAAGAGTTTTCACCGCTTAAATAAGAAATCATTCCTCCAAAAAGGAGACTAGAAAGTGGTGCAGCGTTTGTGGCCGGATGTTCGTACCTTTCTTGGCTCCGGTTTTGTACTGCTGCCACTCGGCCTCGGCCTCCGGCGTCGCCCCGAAGAACTCGCCGACGCACAGCAGCAGCTGCCAGGGAACAAAATCACAGCGCTGGAATCAGAACCGCCGCCTTCCTGCACCCGTAAAGGCGTCCCCCATGTCCAACGTCCCCGCGGCTCACATCGAACGGGCCCGCCTTCTTCTGGATGCTCTGCACACGGTTGAACAGGGCGCTCAGCCGGCCCCCGACGTCTCCGCACGCCAACCTGCACGCACACACACACACACACACACACACACACACACACACATTCAACTACGGCCGGGAGACTGAGCCAACATGGCAGCGACAGACGGCTCCTTTTAAGACTCCTCGGGCCTCAGTGACACTTTAGTTTGTTCAGGAGACGTAACAGAACATTGTTAGTGTCACATTGAAAGCATCTTATGCTGCAGGAGTAACAGAAGAGTGCACGCGTTCATGACGTAATAGGCGCGCGTGCGGATCCTCGTAACAGATGAAACACGTTGAATGATTCATCTCGTCCAGCGGAGCTTCGGCGTCATTGTTGCAGTTTGATCGATGTTTCAGAGCGTTTGCTTCACATTGAGAAATAAAACACACATTCGTTCTTCTCCCCAGTGAGCACAAGGCGTCATTTCCACGTTGAAATCGGGTTCAACCGGCGAAAGTGTGGGTGAAACATCGACGTGCAAAAAAAACGTCAATTTGTTACTAATCCGTCCGCTTGTAACGTAACGCAGCGGGCAGCTTCTGGTCGAAAAGACGTTTAAAGAAGTCTACGGCCGACGTTGCAAATTGGTTTGAAAGTGAAAGTCTATGTTTGGACCAGTTTTCAACGTGATTTCGCGTCGGCGACAGACGTCTTTAAACGTCTTTTAACCCCAAAATGCTCGCTGGGACTCATCAACGTTTACGGGATGGAAACATGGATGAAGTGTTCATGAAGTAAACTCACACTCTCACTGGTTGTTCCGACATTTTTTCGGCTGTAGATTCGTTCAAATGTTTGATTTCGATTTTTGCAGCTTGAACGTTTGGTTCGTCGCTGATATTGGTCCGGCAGATACAAGAGCGGAACTATTATCCATTTAACAAATCGACCGTCTTTTACGTACAGAAAGTCGCCAAAGGACATTGTTAAGAACAGGCTCCAAACATATTCAATATAAATGTAGAATTTCAATATCTATTTGACGTTATTTCATTGAAAAACAAACAAAACAGTAAGGTTGTTAACCGGAGAGATTTTAAAGTGGAGACTGTGGTTGCCAGGTCTGACACAACTTCTCTTGTAAATAATTAGGTTTTCAACTTAAATTAACTTTGGAATGTGACTTTTTTAATGTAATTTAAAATAGAAGAATTGTATGAAGTTCATAAAGCATTGTACTGTATATGTTATCTCCATTATTTACATTAAAATAACTATAAATAGTATGTTATAAAGTATTAGTACATCCAGTACCTAACTTCAACGTATTACTTGTTGAAAATATATTATTTTCAAAATACTTATTATATACTGTATAGGAACTATACGTCCCTAAATCTTTCAGGTTTCCATTCTCGAGATTTTTATTTTATTTTTTATTAATTTCTAAGAATGTTATGAATGAATGTGAGCTATCTCATGTGGAAATGTGAGTTTATGAAATCAAACTGAAAACTATCAGTTGACCTGCAGTCTGAAATAGTCTGTTGTTTTGTGGATAAATAGTAGTGATAAAATAAAAAAAAACAGTGTACAGTGGAATAAAATGTTATATATATATATACATACATATGAAATAACACAAACAGTGATTATATATACAGAATAACTATTATAGCATATCTAACACAGCTTGTAGGCGTTTCTCTGCTATTGGAGCGGAGCTTTTGTGCAATAATCAAATTGATTAATTTCGTGTTAATATCCCATTTTCCTGATAATCCTAAAGATGCATTTCTCGTACGAACCTCCAGTTTTACGGACACCGATCCGATGTGGCAACCCCGCGGGCCTCGGCCGATCCTCCATCCTGGCACTTACCTTCATCCTGGTAACTCGCAAGTCCCCGGACCGAAAACAGGAAGTAAGTAGCAGAATCAAACGTAAAATTCACTTTCTGTTTGCTGGTCGGGCTCCGGCGGGGCGGCGCGGGCCGAGCGTTCTGCCCGCGGGCGGACGAACGGCGGCCGAACCGTCGGAGGAGCCGAGTGGACGCCGCGGGCCGCATCTTGTCGGCGAACATGGCGCCGGAGATGTTTCTGTCTTTCATTTGGCCGGTTAGCTCGGACGATGCTAACGGGTTAGCACCAGAGCTCCACACCGAATGGCGCGGATGCCTTCCGTCTCCTGGCAACGCGATTTAACGTTAAAACTTCACGTAAAAAAAAAATGCGTGGACGCGCCGTGTATTTGTGTTCTGACGCTCCAGTGAGCGTTTACATCCCCGCCGTCGGCCCCGCGGCTTCGACGGAGGTCCGAGTAGCGACCCGTGGGTCACTGCGCCGGACTCCATGTAGAAACACGCACATTCCGCGTCCTCCTGCTTACTGGTCAACAAACACGCTTCTTATGTCGCGCTGCAGCTGAGGTGCGCGTGGCCGCTAACAGGCCCGCGGGCCACACGTTTGACTCATTTTGGCCAAATTGCACCGGTCGTTCAGCTGGACAGAAATACACATTTCTACTGAAATAACGTCCATGTTTGTGGATCCCGTCTTGTTTGTTAAGGGAGTTCGGGAGGATTTTTTTTAGCAAGTGACCGAACAAACAATAAACAATTTAGTGTTTTTCTGTTTTCCTGTGGTGGCATCATGAAGTTACTTTGACAAGCTGTTCTTCAATGAGATACTCGAGAGACACTCTACATTTGACACTATAATTACTTTATAATTATACGAAGATAAACATAATATTTCTTACTTTAATTAAATAAACATATATGACCATTTGGATAAATATAGTTTAAAAAAACAATGCCTGGTTTTCACTCATTCATAATTTCATTCATGAGTAAATATTGAATCGGTTCATATTCCTTAAAATAACCACTTTGTTATCAAGCGCTGTGTCATGCTCGAAGCTAATCACTGAATTCATTTCTTACTAGAGAATGAAAATATTAACAACGCGCTGCTATTTGAAAGGTTCCCATGAGGCAGAGAGCGGTCTGTGTGTTCGATTCCTCAGCCGGCGGACGATGAGTTCAGAGGACGAGGACGAAGCCGCCGAGTCCGTCAACCCGACTCAGGAGGGCCAAGGGAGCCCCGTCCTGCCCGGCCCCCCCCACGGTGGGTTCCTGATCTATAGCGCCTCCGTCAGGACCGCGTCGGGAACCCATCGGCTCAGAGGCCGGCGTGGGTACAACTGATAATGGACTAACAGCCCCAGCTGGGGGAGAAGACGACACTTGGTGCTCTGTGACATTGTGACTTGCTAGAAAAAAAACGTCTCACGTCTCAGATTTAAGTTCACATTTAAGATACGTGTTCTCATGTTCATAAAATAACATCAAAACACACTCGATTGTTAAAATTACAATTCAATCTCAGAGAATATTCATTTTCTCCTTCTAATCATCCCTTTGTCCTCCCATTTTTTAAAATTGTAATTGTAAGAATTCTTTTTATTTGATTTTCTTTATTTCTAATGAGGACAAATGGGTTGTGATGAGTAGATTTTTCACTTAATAGTTACAGTAAGTTGTGCGTGCGTGCGTGTGTGTGTGTGTGTGTGTGTGTGTGTGTGCGCGTAGACGAGGACTCGGAGCCTTTCCAGAAGAAGCTCCGCCTCTCTGCTGAGGACCAGGGCGACTCGCTGGCGCCTCAGTTCACCGCCGTCACCCTACCGAGTGAGACTCCTCCCACCTCACTGACGTCCCCTCAAACCACAGCGGGGCCTCTCGGCCAGCGAGGGTCCCGCCGACGCTCAGCCGCTAACGGTTCTCTTGCCCCGCAGTGTCGGCGAGCGACGAAGGCTTCGAGGTGACCATGACGGCCTCGGCGGACGGGGATCTCTCTGAGGACGGAGTCGCTCGGATTCAGGTGCGGACACGGCTCCTCTTTCTGGTCCTCCTTGTCTCCTTAGTGCTCCTCGTCCTGCAGGTCCACCGTGGAAAGATCTGAGCCACGACACTACCACGCCGCTCCACAGGGGGCGCCAGAACCCCCCAGAGATGAAGGTTCTTTGTAGGAGCCTTGAATGAGATGAGTGGATGACAACGCACTGCGGGATTTGATTGGCTAACGGGGGACGTGCACCCACTGACCTACACACTGCTTCCAGTTTGTGTATCACAGCTCGTGTGTTTGTGCTCTTGTCGTGTGCAGATGGACGAGGACGCCGATCAGAAGTCCGCCGTGGCCCCTGTCAGTCAGGCCTGGTTCACCACCAAAGAAGACAAGGACACGCTGGCCAACAAAGGTACACCCCTATTCTCAGCAGGCTCCTCCCCCTGCGGCATCAGTCTCATATTCATAGCGTGTGGTCGTCCTCCAGGTCACAAGTGGAAACAGGGCATGTGGTCCAAAGAGGAGATCAACCTCCTGATGAGCAACATCGATCACTACGTGAAGGTTGGTCACTTCCCGTCTGCGTCTGTCCTCCGCTAAGCGCCCGCTAACCCGCTAACCTCTTCAGGGGCGGGGCATCGACGACCCGGCCGAGATCATCTTCGAGATGTCCAAGGAGGAGAGGAAGGACTTCTACCGCTCCGTGGCGCTCGGCCTCAACCGCCCGCTGTTCGCCGTGTACCGCCGGGTTCTCCGGATGTACGACAACCGGAACCACGTGGGGAAGTGAGTCCCCTGGGGGGGGGGTAGAAAGAGACTATCTGGTTTGAAGAGGAATTAACGGGCCTGTTGTGTCACAGTAGGTAGTAACATGGTGATGATCTTCTGTGGGGATTCTACCTGGTAAATCCTGTCCTGATCTGAACGGACAATGAGAGCATACCATTACATCTTTGGAAATACACATTAAGCACCCTTCTTAAGCTCCATAATTATGGGTAACTTCTACCTATATTACCTATTTTTCAACAGTGACAACTGCGGCCTGATAAAGTATATTTCAAAGTAAAGCTTACCTTCCCTGATTAAGTAATGGTTGGTAAGTCATATTGTTCAATTTTAACAATTATTAGGTATTAAATGCTTGCAATCTAGAGTGCAAATTGTTACCTCACATTTATTGAGTAGATTCTATAGGTTGTTTTTTATAGTGCGTGGTCATGTCCCACGTTCATTGATCAAAAGCAAAAACTTAATGTCCTCTAATTATGTCGTGTTGTAGTGTTTATAAAAAGCAATGAATCCCAGTAGTATAGTAAACAGTAGTATTTCTCTTCTAATGATCATACATTTAAATTGTCAGTGTGTTGTTAAATAAATGTCATGGGACATTACACAAAGATTGACAGGAACGGAGCGTGATGTCCGTCATTTGACACGTGTTCACTGTTGCTAGGCAAACAGAGGACGCAGACTGATGGATGGCGCCAGTCTTTGAAGCTGAAGGAGGCCTATCAGGTTTCACTCTTTTCCTCTTTTGAAAGAAATCCACAACAGCAGCTAATGTTTGCATTAAATCCACAAACTGAAGGTTGATGAACAGATTTGGACGTGAATGACCAGAGAACAGAGCATGACGGAGTGGAAATCAGTAGCTTGCACTCAGACCTAGTAAACCATTAAGCCTTTGAAGTAATAATCTGGAAAATTTAATTGAACCAAATATGGCCATTTTGCATCTATTTGGTGGGTTTGTGTTTCTTTGCAGTTGTTTGCATCTCTTTGTTATTTATGCTGCTTTTTGGTGCCTGTCAGCGAGGAACCTGTGAATGTGTGCGGGAGTGTAACGTCCTCGACAACTCTGAATAGAAAAGCACAATCAGCCACAAACTTCTGCACTACCTGCTGAACCTCAACTCCAAAGGATAGAAAGTTAGCAAACAGTTTGAAAGTCAAGGTGGAATTGGCCTTTCTCTGTTGGGCGGGAGCACAACTTTAAATACCTGCTAATGTGTCTGATTGAAACGTAGGTTAGCCATTGCTTGCTAACACGTTTAGCTCATAGAAGGTTAGCATCTGCCTCCTAGTGGTCAGAAATGAGGGATGCAGCTTCACGCTAAACACTCGCACGTTATCAATCGCTCCTCCCAAGCGGTCGTTGTCTGTGCTTCATTGTCATTGTGAATCCCGGTGCTCTTCTTGGCCAGACCCGTCCTGTGCGCCATACACGCGCGTGGTGTTGCCTGGCGTCCATGCTCCCCCGGGCACTGATGCCCTGACCAATGGGCTCTCTGCTGACCTCTGCTCAAGGTCAAGGCCTAACCTTAACCAACCGTCTCTACTAAGTACACGGGGAAAGACTCGCCAAGAAACAAAGTGGGCCGGTTCAGCTAGACGACACCTCAGATCAGTTCAACTGGAACATTCAAGGTATTGAGAAAAAGTGACAGTTTGAAAATATATTACACACCTGATGGTGATACCAATATTAAACTATGTTTTTGTGGTGCATAATACCACACAAAATTGTCCATTCATTCCAGTGTCCTCCAATAAGTTTCCTTTCAGACCTCTGCTCGTCAATCCTCGTCAGTTGAGTCAGCAAATGAAAAAGGACCATGTGATGCGTATCTTCATACTGTGTGATACACTATGATCAGGGTGTCTCAGACATGTCCCACCATCTATGACACATTTCATTTAAACATTTATTTTAATTTATTCTTTAGACGTTTGTCCAATCAAAAACTACAACCTCATCCGAGCCGACTGATCCCCAGCAAACATGCGAGAAATATTTATTACACCTCCAATGTATCAAAGAGCACCACAACACTGTTTCTTGATTTGGTTGTTTTCTGAGCATCTACTATACATACACACACCTAAAGCAAAGAAATCCTGATCAGACTGCAGGATCGTTTGGAAACCCACCACGAGCTGCTCACCTGTTGTACAGAACCCAGAGGTCCTCTGCTGCAGGCGCCATGGAACCCTCCATCGTCATTTCTGAATCCATAAGAATCATCTGAGGGC